TACATGTGTATATCTTGGTAACCGCTGCATCAATTTATTCCAAACTTTGCACAGTTGTTGGCCTTAATACAGCATACTAAATGGCCGAAAATTTTAAAAATCGGATAATAACCACGCCCACTTCCCATATAACGGTAATTTCCAGAAATACGAAAACAGCGATAGTTTCGTAACTACTGAAGATAATTGACTCAAAATTGATATTTATAATAAATTCTAGACGAAATATAAGAATATTATAAATTTTTGGAAAATGGGCGTAGCCACGCCCAGTTATGTTTACATGTGTATATCTTGGTAACCGCTGCACCAATTTCTTCCAAACTTGGCACAGTTGTTAACCTTGGTATAACATACGAAATGGCCGAAAATTTTTAAAATAGGACAATAATCCCATATAACGGTAATTTAGAGAAATACGAAATCTTCGATAAATCAGTAATTATTGAAGCTAATTTTTTCAAAATTGATGCTTGCAACAATTCGTTACCAAGAAATACGTTTAGGATACAATTTTGAAAAATGGGCGTGGCACCGCCCACTTATGATCACATATATGTATCTCGGTAACCGTTCTACCAATTTGTACCAAACTCGGTGTGGTTATTGTACTTGCCACATAGAAGCAAAACGTTGAAACTTATTGAAATCGAACTAAAATTACGGCCGCTTTTCATATAATAGTAAATTTCAGATATGCTTGAAACTTCAATATTTCGAAATTTAAGGACGCCAATTTACTCAAAATGGATACACCTCGGTTTACCATGTAGCGGTAGCTTTCGGAAAGGTGAAAAACATATATTTAATACTTGCGCCGGGTATTTAATGTTCGGCTCCGCCCGAACTTAGACTTTTTTACTTGTTTTTTTTTCAAAATAAAAAATAGGGGTATATTTTTTCGATATAGAACAATCCTAGGGGTGGCGGCATTAAAAACCCGACCTTATTTTTTTACATACATTTTTGGACCACTTTAATGGGCAGCCATAAAAGTTCCCACTTCTACTTGACCTTTGACATACGTCAAAGAGAACATAGTCTTTTTAATAATATTTTTTTTTTTGTGCTTTAAATATCTGCTTTGGCTTCTTTCTTTACTATGATTTTTTTGGACCAATCTTAAAAAAACTACTAGACACAAAAGAAGAAAGTGTGCACTATAATTCTTAACAAAATTTTCGTGATTTGCTTTTGATGTTATAGGCGGCATACACGGTGCGTCTGACTCGTGAGTCGGTTTGGATGTGTTTGTGAAAATAAATATGGTGCGAATGACTCGTGAGTCGGTTCGGATGTGTTTGTGAAAATATATAAGTGTTAGTTACACCAAAATGACCCGGCATGACTCTGAATGATTCAACTGTGTGCAGTCGAAGGCGAGTCAACACGTACGCAAATGACTCGCGAGTCAGACGTACCGCGTATGCCACCTATTACATATATTCGTTTGAATAATTTCAAATGGGGCTCTTTAGGAAATCTATTTTTAGCAAAAATTTAAAAAACAGTCGTTTTGTTTACTTGTTGGATAATATTTTTTTCACAGGGATATACATTGGATTCTTGGCTAAAAACTTCTGTGGTAAAACTGTCCCTTCTTTGCTATTTAAAGTCAACAAGTAAGCTCCTTCAATAGGGATTTCCAGTAGAAATGATCAACGTCTAGCTATAAAGAGAATCGATGCTCAAATAATTAAAAGGCTATAGTAATTACGTAACTATCTTTTATTCAAATGCTTATAAAAAACGGGGTGCTTAAACCAAATAAATAACAATATTCTGATCCGATTCGGCTGACAGCCACGACTTTGAAAACATAATTTTGTTCAAAAATAATACTCTATTTTCCATATCCACCTATTTAGCTCGCTATAAGCACAAATTTTTCAAAGCAGTCGCAGAATAAAGTATTAAAGATGAATTACAAAAACCAAAATCGAAAAGTGCTGCTAAAGTTACAGGTTCTCAGAAGTCTGAAACAACATGACATATGTATCTGGTTTGGCTTGTAAGCGCTGTTTAAACAACGATCTCGCCATTATGCTAGATTCTAATTGTTTTTTAAAAATACTTGACATCCGCAACATCCCTAGTATGTACATACATACAGTGGTCGAAATAATTGTAGCCGCACCACATTTTGACAAGTTTTAACATATTATTTTTGTTGTTATTTAATTTTGGTTATTTTTTTTTTATAAAAATATAGTGCATTCTTGAAGAAAGCCTTTCTTTGCGATTGTCAAAATGTGTATGACTTTGTCAAAAGTTTCACTAGCCTCATGAGCTACTGAAATTTTATTCACATCTTTTAGTTGTCAAAAATTTACTCGCCGCGAACTTTGTTACCGATTCACACACGCTCTTTGTGGAATATTAAAAAAAAATAAAAATCAGCAAACTTTTTTAATTAGATTTCCTAGAAAGATTCTGAGTAAGCAGTTTTGTAGCCCGTTAAATTCTAGTAGAAAAAGTTCAAGTTTGAAATGGCTAAAAATTACCGTCGTTTTTGTAGATTTTTTTTTTGTACCATTAGCTTCCATTTAACGAATACCCACAATTTATTTTTATATGGAAGAAAATCGAAACATCCTGGACAAAAAAATTCTAAAAAATCAACTGAATTTTTAGCCATTTGAAACTTGTACTTTGCTCTACTAGAATTCAATGGGCTACAAAACTGCATACTCAGTTAGAAATTTTTACGAAATTTTGTTGAATTTTTTTTTTTTTAAATATTGCACAAAGTTTGAAACTTGGTTTAACACGGATTTTGTTAAAGAATGAACTATATTTTTATAAAAAAATAACCAAAATTAAATAACAACAAAAATAATATGTTAAAACTTGTCAAAATGTGGCGCGGCTATAATTATTTCGACCACTGTATAGTGGTCCAAAAAATAAAAGAATTGCGATATTTTGACCGGTTTTGGGCATTTGGCATTTGTCTTTTGTTTATTGTTTTATAAAAGTCTGGGTGGTATACAACAAACACCATATAAATTCAGATTTCAATCTTTGTACTAAAATTAGAAAAATTCGGCTCATTTTCATCAAAATTTCCAACTTTTTAATCAGAATTTGGTATGCAGGTTTGTAGAGCATTTAATTCTAGTATAATGAAGTGCAAGTTTCAAACTGATTTAGAATCTCGTTAATTTTTAGCATATTTTTTTGGCTGCCAGTGTCCTCCATATAAAAGAAAATTCTCGAACTTACTTTTGTATGGAAAAAACGTGAAATACTTTCAAACAAAAAAATTAATTTTTGCGAGCTGACTGCAAATGTTCTTTGATGTTGGCTGTTGTCTGTCGCTTCACCTGAACATATCGCCGCCTGGGTAAAAGATTGTCGTAAGCTCAATTTTGAAGATTTTTAGTTCTAGATGCAGTTATATATTTTTCTTTCGATTGGTGTGATCAGTTTTAAGATAACTCCTTTAGGTTTCGAGATATTGACTAAAATTTTTTCGATAATTAATAAAAATTTAGTTAGTGATGCAGTCATAGCAAACCAAACAATATCTTAAAAATGGCGTTCTCCATTTTTGGATATCTCCTTTAATTTCCGAGATATTGAGTAAAAAGTGTCGTTAATTTAGTAGAAATTTTGATCACATTTTGTCCTATTTCATACAAAGCGGCTGTCAAATTGTGGACAAATGACGCTTACGACAAAATTTTACTAAAGAAAATCCTTCATAAACTCAAAACTAATTAACAATAAACATTAAAAATTAAAACATTTAAGAATTTTGTGAACTAGTAACATTTTCAGAGACTTTGGTAAAAATCTATCTTTGCGTTTTTGAGAAATTGCATTCCAATCGCGATTTCCCACAACCTGTTGAAATTAACATACGACAATCTTTTACCCAAGCGACGATATGAAAAGAAATTCCAAATAATCGACGAAAAAAGGCCGATGCCAATGCTCAATTTTGTGCCGATACAAGCCGATGCCGATTAATCGGTCGGACTCTAATATAAACATTCCAACATGCATTTAATAGCAGCAGCTACAGCTAATGGCCCTATTGTATATGGTGACTGATAGTCGATGGGCAGCCTTATACTAAAATTCGCATTACGTATGGCTACTGGCTACTGACTGTCGGCTACTGAGTCTAGTAGCGGAATTTTCGGTTTCCCGCTATCGACGGTTTTGTTATTAGTTCGCATAATTTGTTCAACACATTGGAGCAAAGTTGCCAATTACTTGGAAAAGTTCATGTTTAAAAAGTAAATTCGGGTGTTTTCTGAGCTTTTCTATATACTGATACTAATCGCTATACGTAATACAAGTTACGATACTGGTAGCCATGGCTACTAGACCAGCAATTAGACTCCAGTCGCCATACATAATAGGGCATACATTTTGTTTATTTTTTGTTTCCTAATTATTTTCAAAAATAAGTTCAGATATAAATTTCGAAACCTGGGATCATACATGACTACTGAAAGATTCATATAAGTCACACATTTTTAGTTTTTGAAACTAATATTTCTTACCTACCTGAAAAATAAATACATTTTCGCAATCAAAATTTCCCCGGCAACCATAAAATGACGTTGCCAACGTAACAACTCAGTTGCCAGCTTCGTTTTTATTATTTATTAGAGCTGTAAAAGTAACGAAAATTTTGATATCCACATGTATTCGTTACTAATCCAACCAACACCCGTATCTTTCGTATCGTTACTTTTGATAAAAGCACTTGTACATCACACGAATCGTCGCAACGAATCTTGCAGCGTAAGTAAATATTCGTTCTTATAGACTTGGTTCACACAGAGAAACTTTTGTTGATCATTTTCGGCAATTTCTTTTTTGGTGTCGCCCTTCGCGTTCGCACAGAGCAGTTCTTTTGTACACAACTGTTGTCAGCTGTAAACGGCCAACTAGAATTACTCAGACGATCGAGAACAGCAAGGAGCAACTCGGTGCTCTTTCCCCTTCTTCGCCACTCCCTCTCAAACAAGTAACGAGTTGCCGCGGCAAAAGTTTCTCTGTCTGAAACTAGACTTTGTATCGATACCAATAACAGTTTCGTTTCCGCACAATATGTATATATGTTGGGTTGTATTGATTCACGTTAATGGTGCATATACGGAAAGTGCGAATAACGAGATTATTACGGGAGTGACGATTCGGTACTTCCGAGTTAGGAGTTGAACTTGTTACTCAGTAACGAATACATACGGTATGCTATATATGAAAGATATAAAAGGACATTTTTCTTCAAATTAATTACTTCTTTTTTGAGATAGATATAAAAGGTAATTTTTCTTCAAATTAATTAGTTCTTGCTACATAAACAACCACATTTTTCCGCGAATTGAATAGTTCCGTAGTCACCTGTTATCATCCAATCTTTGCTCTTATTTTTTAGCATATCAGCTTGACCTTCGGCGAGACCGCATATCAAATCTGCTTTGACAGTACGTAAGCTGCAAATGTTCGTTGGCCGAAAGTCTATAATTTTAAAATTATACATTAATTGTTAATTAAATATTAATTATAATTTAATAAATGAAATAAATAAATAATTTTATAAATTAGATATTAATTATAATTTTAAAATGATGAAAATTTATGTCGTATATTTTTTACCTCTAAGACATGTTGTAAATGACTCGGTGAAGTCCCAGGAGAAATCTCCTATTAGCTTGCGGTAGTTGAGATCTCCTTTGAATATTATAAGATTGGCTTCTGAAAGTCTGGCGTATAAATTTGGATTGACATCGCGCATTCTATAAAATATAGAAAATATTTATGTATGTAAATATATGTACATATGTATGTACCTTGTAATACATTTCATCATTACCGATAGTATTCATATGGACTTGTCCAAAAATAATCTAATGGTGCTATTTCAAATTTACTTTCATTCAGGAATCTTTGCCATCTCATTCCATATTCTTTTAAAATAGGTACACTGTGGTTTTGTAGAAATTGTAGAGTCCAATTGAAAT